CTCCGCCGTACACGGGCAAAATTGTTCTGGCTTCGTCTTATTGTGGCTCCGCACAGTAATACTTCTGTCCAGTCTGCTTGAAAGCCGCAACTCCGTTCCTTATATCACCAGTTAGCGCGAGAAACCCACAACTTAGCGGTTGTTGTATATATCTTACGGTGCACAACGACCTGGAACCCGAGCCGAGTCACAGTTCCATCTACAAACGCATGCATTCATGTTGCAGTGATCAAAGTCGATAATGCAAGGATCAGGGTTATCATCATGTTTGGTTCCTGGGTGTCCAAAAAAGTTTGATCCTGGATTTACTTGTGCTACGCACATGGCAATGAATGGGAGGATAGCGAGTGTAGCGATGTGCATGTTATATTCGACCACAGAGTTTTTTTTTTTGGTAAAGATGGGGAAAGGGAACAGGTAGAATAGTGTTGTCTCAGCAAAAAGAGAAAAAAAAACACTTTCTCAATATATAGTGGTGTGTAGCAAGGGCGAATTTATGGACACGGAACTATCGGTTTTTTTTCATAATTGGGCGACATGATTGACTAGCTTTTGCTGACACGAGTTCAGCAGGACGGACGCGCTCGCAAAGTTTATTGCAAGCAGTGGTGATGGGATAGAACTTTAGCAAAAGTATCAGTTAAATATAGAGAAGTGGGGAACTAGCTACGATACGCGGCTTGACTTGAGAGGGTGATATGCCAAGGGTTGATGCCGGGTGTAACTAACAGAATTGTATGACTTGAATTTTTTGTATCTGTTTGGCGTAGTATACCGTATCGGATTATTTGTCTGAGAAAAGAATGGCAAGCCCCACCCCATCTCAGCCGTGTGTTGCGCAGCTATGCCCATAGTGGCAGAACAGCGGAAGCGATGCGGAAATTGATTCATCGCCCCACTTTGTCTCTTGTGATAGACCATTTGTCCCCGACATACTACCGTAGTGAGATCAATGGTGGTGGTGCTCTCATACACTCGGTAATAGAACCGGAAAATGGCGGCCCTTCTTAGCAGTGCAAAACCACTAAAAACATAGCCAAATTGGTACCTGCTTCCTTCTCAGGCTGCTGCAACTCTCGCAGGTGCGAGTTAATACTTGAAAATCCTATAACTATAAAAGCAAGAAATGCGCATTCGATAGCCTAAATTTTGTTAAGAAATAAGCACGTTATGATGGATATATTCCATGTTCTTGATAGCTAGTTTTGCTGAGCGATGCCCGGTTATTTTGATTTTCCGGTTTTACCGGGTGTATGAGAGGTGATGGTTGTATAAGTTGTAAGGCTCGTCATTGAAGTTAAGCAAGTTTCTCTGCGTTCGTGGAGGAAACTTATATTTTGTCCGTCACAGCGGTTATCTTGTTACAAAAGAGGTATATATTAACTACTATGTCTAGGAACATTAAACTGGTTCGTAAATCCGTAAAATGTTTCAAAAATCTGTTCACCTCCAGTAAACCGGCATTCCCTTCTCCCACCCTTTGATTCTACAGCAATACCAAGTATCCGTCTCACTCGTCCCCTGTCCGCCACTACTCTTTTGATCAATACTCGCATACACACTCCATCCCTCCTCCTCCAGCATCTCCACCAGCGCCATAAGCAACTCCCTAACCTGCATTGTCGTCTTGCCCGTTGGCGACCACGGATAACCATGCAGCTCAAACTCCCAAATGCCAGGCGCATACTCGCTCTGCCCCTTGAGCCACTCACTCCCTATCCTCTGCGGCAAACTCGCATACAACTCAGGCGGACAGTCAATAAATCTTAGTCGGCTCTGACGCGAAAACGCTATACTGCACCACTCGTGGCGCGCGGGCGGTGGGGCCTGGTGGCGGAAGAGCAACGTATCTTTGTCCGTTGCCGTCTTACTGACGTCCGTGGTAAGCGTTAGGATCCAGCCGTTCGCATGCAGCGTTGATAGCACGCCTTTTACGAGCCTCCGTGCCTGCGCTGCGTCTTTGCCGAAGCCGCGCCAAGGGTAGCCGTCAAGCTTGATTTCGTGCGAGTTTGCGTAGGGCCGCTCGGAGGAGATGCCTTGGGGCCAGTTTGAGAGGATAGCGCTTCGGCAGGCGGAGATGACGGGCTCTGGGAAGCGTAAGAAGCGGATACGGTCTTCCATGTGGAGGGAGAGAGATGCGAAACGGGTTTGGAAGGGAGGTACTGGTGTGGAGGAGGAGGCCGCGTAGGAAGGTGGTCCGGGGATGGAGAGAGGACTGCCTTGGTGGATATCGCCGGAGTCGTGTTTTGAATGGCCTGATGGCGATTTCCCGCGGATTCTGTCAAACATTGTGGTTGATAGACTGATTGTTGATAGCCTGGGAATTAGGTTCTGTTGGAATAGCGTAGTAAGTTCGAGGGTAAGGGGTTGTGCTGATGCGGGGTTTTATATTTCAATGGACAAGAACTGAACGCCTGATATCTTGCTATTCAGTAGTGATGATCATCGCCATCACATGTTCCACAGGGCTGTGCTCTTTAGTTGGAATCGCACCATGCTGTATTGGGTAATAATCCTTCAGGAATGTTGGTAGTTTGGTGTTTGTGGCCCATTTGGCCCCACCTTCCTGGCTGTGGCTGTCAACACACTGCAAGGAACTGGCGCTCTTGTTAGCGGCGTCCTGTTATCTCCTCTTCGGGAAAAGAACGAAATAGCAATGGCACAATGAAAATATGACTACTTAGAATTTATCAATGCATGTCACATGTGCTCCTGTCAGAGTGTAAGAATCCCGGGATGCTTCTTTACTAGCAGGGCTTGGCGGGGCGACACCGGACTTTGGGACTCGCTTGGTGGGCAAAAAGCGATACTCCAAAATAGGCTGTTTTTCAGATGGTCTACAATACCAACTACTGGTACTTTTCTAATTTTTTTACTTGCAAACAATACTTTCATATAGCGCAAGTATAATACGCATGGAAAATAGAAGTAAATATAATATCATAGTAGTATAATAAAGCTGCGAAGTTGCTGACTTTTAAGCGGGCTACGATTTTGGCTTGGTTTTGGGTGGCTAGTGGCCCGTGTAGAGTGTCGCATTTTTTGTCCACCGATTGTCGCTTCCCGAACGACTTTTTTGGCGGCTTTGAGTATCTTATCTGCAGCTCCAGTTTCTCACTGCTCGCCCACCCAATTGCTCTGCGCTGCAAATTCCCTCTTCTCCCTTGGGCAGTCTTTTCGTGTTTCTCCTTCGCACATTTCCCCCTCACAATGACGCCATCACCTTCAGAAGCCGTAGCGAAAGTTGCGCAAGCGGCGTCGGGCACCGACTCGTCAGCTAAGGTATACAAGAGGGAGTCCAACACAGCCAGAGTTCTGGGTGCAGGTACGCACAAGTCTATCTACAATTGGGGAATTAGGTCTAACGGTTGCAGGATGTGCGGGAATTGCAGAGCTCATGGTGTTCCACCCAGTCGACACCACGGCGAAGCGATTGATGAGCAACATTGGCAAGGTGCGATTCAATGTCACCATATGCATGACGGCCATGTCTGACCCTGCGCCTACAGATTGAATCCGCATCGCACCTCAACAAGGTCGTCTTCAGGGATATGGCCTCCGCCTCCGCCTCCAGTCGATTCCTGTCTCTCTTCCCCGGTCTCGGATACGCTGCAGTATACAAGGTAGATGGGATACTTAAAAGTATGGGAGAACCTCAATTGACAATGTCAGGTACTTCAACGAGTGTACAAGTTTGGTGGCCAGCCTTTCGTCAGGGACTACCTCGCACAGAACCACGGTGGCAGCTTCGACCGCACGTTTGGCAAGGGCAACGGCAAGGCGATCATGCATGCGACCGCAGGTTCGATCATTGGTATTGGTGAAATTGTCCTCCTTCCGTTGGACGTGCTCAAGATCAAGCGACAAACAAACCCAGAGGCTTTCCGGGGCCGAGGACTGGTCAAGATTGTCTCTGACGAGGGCTTTGGACTTTACCGTGGTTGGGGATGGACGGCAGCACGTAACGCGCCTGGTTCGTTTGCGGTATGTTTGTATTCGGTGGAAAGACAAGTGCAAAGACTAATGCCAGTATAGCTGTTTGGTGGTTCGGCGGTTGCCAAGGAGTACCTCTACAAGCTTTCAGACTACAACTCTGCGTCGTGGATGCAAAACTTTGTCGCATCCATCGCAGGTGCTAGCGCTTCGCTAGTAGTATCTGCTCCTCTGGACGTTATCAAGACGCGCATCCAGAACAGGAACTTTGAGAACCCAGAGAGCGGCTTCAGGATCGTGTCCAACATGATTAAGCACGAAGGGTTCACTTCCTTCTTCAAGGGACTGACACCCAAGTTGCTCATGACAGGCCCCAAGCTCGTATTCTCCTTCTGGTTGGCGCAAACGCTGATCCCCGCGTTTGGCAAGATAATGTAATTTGTAAGCTGGCCGTGATCTGATGTCTGTACTATATGGGAAGCGCGGGGCTTTGGTTGCCTGGGACTGACAGACTGGGCTGCGTCGAATGTAACGGCGTACGGTAGACCGCGCACTTTTGCAAGCGAACTATACATTCTCCATTCATTCAGAGACTAGGTTGCAGATTGGTACACTTGTGAAACGGCGCCGGTGATGCATGCTTTGTCACGTGCACGCGTCCACACGGCGCACTGCCCTGCCTCATGATGAGAACGGCAGTGCCAAACGCTGGTTGAGCGATAACAAGGTTGCAGTTTTCAAGTGATTCAGGTCACATGTCAGATAGCTCTGCCAGTGAGCCGGGTAGTGTCGCTAGGGTAGGTTAGGCGGTGGTCAGGCTGCTGTGAATGTGATGTTCGCTGGTGCGGACGGGATCCGGCAACCTGTGACCACGGATTTGGGGCTGAGTGCCAAGCTCCTTCACACCTGGTATCCACGCAGGGCACCTCATCGTCCTCCGCTTCCACCTCGTCCACCCCCGACGACGCGCGATACCCCACGATTCAGCCTCCAGCCAGCCTTTTTTTTCTTTCTCAACCAACACCTTCTAGTCCTTACTTTTCCCATACCCCTGTAACGCCGCAAACATGAATCCTGAGTGGTACGTAACCTCCGCGCGAAGCCCACCGCCACAGGCCGACGAGCAATGACGATGTATCTGTGTGCAGAGCCATACTGACTTGAATGCCTACAGAGTGACTTCCATGCCCTGCAGCACAGCACAGCACAGCTTCGGAGCTGCCATCCCCCCGCCTACTGCAGACTGGCCACTGACGCTTCTCTCTCTGCACAATAGATACGACTACCTCTTCAAGCTCCTCCTCATCGGTGACTCTGGTGTCGGAAAGTCCTGCTTGCTGCTCCGTTTTGCCGACGACACATACACTGAGAGCTACATTTCGACCATCGGTGTCGACTTCGTGCGTCTGCCTCGGTACTTGGTGCTGGTGCCTGCCACGGACTAACATGTGCTAGAAAATCCGAACGATCGAGCTCGATGGCAAGACCGTAAAGCTGCAGATTGTGCGTACTCTTGTTGGATCTAGTATCTTTTGGCTGCGAGTACTGATTGTGATTTTAGTGGGATACCGCCGGTCAAGAGCGTTTCCGAACTATTACTTCCTCCTACTACCGTGGCGCTCACGGCATCTGCGTCGTCTACGATGTCACCGACATGGACTCATTCAACAACGTCAAGCAGTGGCTGCAGGAGATTGACCGATATGCTACCGAGGGCGTCAACAAGCTGTTGGTCGGCAACAAGTCCGATATGGCGGACAAGAAGGTTGTTGAGTACACCGTAGCAAAGGTATGTTAATTTCGTCGTTTCCATGTAGCTCGTGCATCTAACAGCATCACTAGGAATTCGCAGATAGCCTTGGCATTCCATTCCTCGAGACCTCCGCAAAGAGCGCCACCAACGTTGAGCAAGCTTTCCTGACCATGGCCCGCCAGATCAAGGAGCGCATGGGTACCACAACCGCCAACACCAAGCCCACAGTCCCCATCGGGCAAGGCCAGGGTGTGCAAAGCGGATCCGGTGGCGGCTGCTGCTAGAGAAGGAAGAGAAGAGTTCAAATGTGTCGGAGAAACGTATAAGCGTTCAATAAGTAGCGAGATACGACGTGGATGCCTGATTTCCGGTCTCTACATGGCGATCGCGAGAAGCAAAGTGGTACTACACTAGTGCGCACTGATACAACGACGGCCATGATCTCCCCTTCGTCACCGTCTCTCCCTCTCCGTCTCGAGCTTTGTGCTAGCATGGCGACACGGATCGCATAGAATGGGGGCTCTCGTTTGGATTTCCGGGATATGCTGGTTTTTGCATTGCAATTTGTGATGGCCGCTAGGTCCTCTGTTTCCTTCGGTGCGTTCTAGGTGTTCTTAATATGGACAATCATACTTTATCCCAGAACGTGATTTGCTTGGCATGTACATGTGTAATGACGTACTGACATGATGTTGAGCATCCCTGCCATGGGCCCCCCAAAAAGCAATTCGCGGTATATATTTCTTTTTCTTCCCATGGTGCCACAAAGACCCCCACCTTCTACATTTGACCTGTCAAAAGTGCATGTGTTGTAGTTGTGCATATATGTTTTTCCTTTTCTTCTCGAGTGTCGAATCAGGTGCTGGCGCCTTTTGGACGCCCTTTCACCTCTCAACAAAACCTAGGATGAATACAAGTAGAAGTTGTGATTTGTGATTTCCCTTATCCCTGTAATTGCCCCTATTACCACTACTTTTGTCCAGCACCATCAACACCGCCTCAAACTTTTCATTTTCTGTTCATCTCGGAGATGCTCTTTAGTACATGAACTATGCGGTGTACTTATTCGCTCGCCTCTATGCCGCTTCGGGTAAAATAGCCAAAAGTTGGCGCCCGCCCGCCCTATTGCGTATTCCTTTCAGGCATCCACATCTGTGACATTGCGCCTAAACAATGACTTTTTGCAGTCTACCTCGTCTTTTCCTCCCCTCTCTCTCTGTCTCTTCTGACAACTGTATCGACACTTTGCAAGCTGTGTCGTTGTACTACACTTATTTCTAGGAATTCCAGCAGTCGTTTTTTTTTCTCACTTTGCTCTCTCGCCGCTTTTCCGTGAGAGATACGTACTTATTACGGCCTCTTTTTTTTTCTCGCATCAAACTCTCTCCGGAAAAGCAATGTCAATCCAAAGTGGTATTTCCAACGCAACACAATGGCTCGCGCACGAATTCGGACTCGCGACGATGCGAAAAACGGGGAAAGATGTCTACATTATCATTCTGGCGCGGTACTTGCGCCTCTTTGCCTATGGCGCTATCGCGCTTATTCTTGCGCTGTTTTTCCAAGAGCAAGGATTTTCGGATGAGAAGATTGGGCTGTTTATGACGTTGACGCTGCTGGGCGATGTAGTGATTAGTTTGCTGCTTACGCTTGTTGCGGATTCGCTGGGGCGGCGGAGGACGCTTTTGCTGGGTGCGGTGTCGATGGCGGTATCAGGAGCTGTGTTTGCGAGTACGAGTCATTATCTTGCGTTGCTTCTCGCGGCGATTGTCGGGGTGATTAGTCCGACGGGAAACGAGATTGGGCCATTTCGAGCGGTGGAGGAGTCGACGCTTGCGCATTTGGTGGATGAGAGGGAGAGGGCAGATGTGTATACTTGGTATGTTGTTCTTGCTGTGCTGGGGACGTCGACGGGGTTGGCGGTTGGCGGTGTGGCTGTTGAACGGTTGCAGGCCTTGGAAGGGTGGACGGCTTTGGATGCGTATCGTGCCATGTTCTGGATTTATACGGGTGTTGGGTGCATCAAGGCACTCATGGCGCTGTGTATGAGCCAGCGGTGTGAGCAGAATGGGGCAGTTGACAAGCAGAATGTCGACTCTGTATCTGCGGAGACGGAGCCACTGCTGGCTGAAAGTCAAGCTACCGGAAGTGTGCATGTGCCGGCACAAGAGGAACGCCCTGCGGAACCTGAGAAGAAGAGAAGGTTTTGGCACTCCATTAGCACAATATCAAAGCCTAGTCGTGTGGTACTAGTCAAGCTTTGTAGCTTGTTCTTCCTTGATTCTCTGGGCTCGGGTATGGCTCCGTTCAGTTTGGTCAACTACTACATGGACCAGAAGTTCAACTTGCCAAAAGGGAAACTTGGAGGCATCATGTCAGCGACTTGGTAAGTATCAGCCCTGTACATGTCGTCTTCATCTAATTGACTGATGTTCAGGTTCGTCTCAACTATTGGCAATGTCTTTGCCTCTAGCCTAGCCAAGCGCCTCGGCTTGATTCAAGCCATGGTAGCCACTCACCTCCCGTCGTCTATCTTCCTGGCTCTTCTCCCGGTCCCAGCTGGTCTCGCTCCAACTATCTTCTTGCTTGTTTCTCGCTCTGTACTCAACTCTATGGATCAAGCACCGAGAACAGCCTTTCTCTCCATTGTCGTGTTACCAGGAGAGCGCACAGCCGTCATGGGCGTGGTCAACATTCTAAAGATACTGAGTCAGAGCGCTGGCCCGACCTTTACGGGCCTTCTTGCTGGCAATGGTCGTTTCTGGGTGGCTTTTGTGACGGCGGGTTGCTTAAAGGCAGTATACGATCTACTGTTGCTGGCGTTTTTTGGAGGCAGAGTAGAATCACGGAGACATGAGAGCGAGCAAGCTGAGAACAGGGTAGACGAAGTTGGAGACATGGAGGCCAGTCCGTCTGGGGAACGGACCGATGTGCAGAGGTCGACTTGATTATTCATGACACAACCTTGGATGTGGAGAGCAGGTGTCTGCTGACTGGCAGCCACAATGCCGAAGGTGGATATGGACCATTGATAGTGAAGTGTTTACGAATGCGCCCTCTTAGCTAGTGAAAAGACAATTGAAAACAAGTCAGCCAAGTCGTCTTACTCCACTCTCTCCGCTTGTAATCGGGTTATGTGCCCCGAATAACCCTCCGCTCTTGGGCTGGCTAGAAGATTCCACAGGAGGTTGGCGTGAAGGCTGGTGAGGCTCTACCTCGGTCAACGCCTTGGCATGGCGGTTGGACGCCTGAACACGCTATCGTGACTCTTGGCGGCAATTCTCTCCGACTCCCATACGTACTTGTTCGCCGCGATTTCCATCTTTTGTTTACCCCATCCTCCACATGCCCCAGACTTAGCGGGTACCCCAGATACACTTGCCGTTCGCTAGACACCAATTGAACGGTTAACTTTCTGCGGGTGCTTCTCCGCTTCCATCGGCTCTTGCTTTGGAGCCAAGCAAAGACAGATGGGCAAAAGACATGCCGATAATGTCCTATGTCAGTCTAACTACTCCTAGACTGGTCACATGTCAGTCTGTCCAATCACACAACATGTCAATCGGCACAAGAGAAAGCTCCACTTGTCTGCACGCGACCGAGACCCAGGGCGACCACCGCGTGCACTTGCGCTTGGCCCAAACCATGCACTAGTAGACCCCGCAGAATTTTTATGCTTAAAGGCCGCCGCATATCCTTACCATCCCAATGTCACGGTAGCAGCAACAGCTTCCCCAGATTCTCTCTGTTTCGTTTTTAGTATTGCGAGAGAGTGTGGAGCGGTGTTGCAGGATCCCCCTCCTCTCTTTTCCCCACCCTCGTTGCTATCCTGAACCAGGTCAATAGCATATCCTCCTCGGTCCGACTACCTGGTTCATACAAACCCTCGCAGACATGTCTGTCGAGAAGGATATTGAACCCACTGCGGCTCCCAAGCTGGAACATGATATCGATCATGACGACCATCACAAGCTTGCTGCCAATAAGGTCATCAATGACGCACGTCTGGCGTCAGACAAGGAGCGCAAGATGACCCTCATGCAGGGCATCAAGCTCTATCCCAAGGCCATTGGCTGGTCGGTGCTTATCAGCACATGTATCGTCATGGAAGGCTACGACGTCTGTTTGCTCAACAACTTTTTCGGTTTCCCGCAGTTCAAACAAAAGTATGGCGAGCAACTTGCAGATGGCACGTGGGAAATCCCAGCACCATGGCAAGCTGGACTGTCCAATGGAGTCATTGTGGGCGAAATCATTGGACTTTTCTTGAACGGATGGATCAGCGAGTGGATCGGTTACCGCTATACGGTAATGGGATGTCTTACTTTAATCATTGGCTTCACGACCATCTTCTTCACTGCTCAGACAGTCGTGCATCTTTTGGTTGCTGAGATTCTCTGTGGTATTCCTTGGGGTGTCTTTCAGACTCTTACTATCACATATGCTTGCGAGGTCTGTCCCGTTGCCCTACGTGGATACTGTAAGTTTAACCTCCCCTATATTTGTATCAAGACATTATACTTACAACCTGGTAGTAACAACATATGTCAACTTCTGCTGGGGTCTCGGTCAACTCATTGGTATTGGAGTCATCCGCTCTCTCGTCGACCGGCCAGATGAATGGTCCTACCGTATTCCCTACGCTCTGCAATGGATGTGGCCAGTTCCCCTTCTCATCGGTGTCTTCCTCGCCCCTGAATCCCCCTGGTGGCTCGTCCGCAAAGGCCGACTCGAAGACGCAAAGAAATCGCTGCTCCGCCTCACCAGCCTCAACCGCGAGACCGACTTTGACGCTGAAGAGACGATTGCCATGATGGTTCACACGACCGCGCTCGAGGAGAAAATCACCCAAGGAGCAAGCTACTGGGACTGCTTCAAGGGCACTGATCTACGCCGCACTGAAATCGTCTGCATGGCCTGGGCAATGCAGAATCTCAGTGGCAACGCCTTCTCCGGATACTCGTCCTACTTCCTCCAGCAAGCCGGTCTCTCACCCTCCACGTCTTACGACTTCGCAATGGGCCAATACGGTATCAACATGGCCGGTGTCTTCGGCGCTTGGTACCTAATGAAAGTCGGAATCGGACGTCGTACGCTCTACCTCGGCGGTCTCTGCGGCCTCTGCGTTATGCTCTTCGTCATGGGCTTCCTCGGTCTCGTTCCTAGCTCCGAGCGCCAAACCGGCGCCATGGCAACAGGCGCCATGATGATTGTCTGGGCCATGTTCTACCAGCTCACCGTCGGAACGGTATGCTACTCGCTCGTCGCTGAACTGTCTACCCGC